CTTTCAAGTATATCAATCTCTTCAAGACACAAAACAATGCTGAAGTTAATTCTAATGTTAAGTAGCATTTAAATATAGATTATTCCAGCTGGGAAGATAATCAAGTAGGAAAGGTAGTCTAGTTTTTCACTCAAAGTTGCAGTATTTTTTTCTCAAACCTTTTTTGGTGTTTTAATCTAATCTATATTTCATATCATTGAAAAATCAGTAAGAGGCAGAAAGATTCCTAGGTAGCTTATCTGAGCAGTTCTGAACCGGTCTGTGATCACCTCTCTGCATAACCACCTGACCACGCCACTTCTGCAAAGCCCAAAGCAAACTGCCAACATACAGCGGTGTAGGGAGCACCACCCTCAGTTAAATCAGACTTTTCCATCTCAGAAGTTACATCTGTTCCNATATCAAGAATAGAAGAAATTAAATCTAAGAGGAAAACTCCATAGAATAACGTAGGTCATTGTTAACCATATAAAATAAGATTATCACAAACACAACTTTCAAGTATATCAATCTCTTCAAGACACAAAACAATGCTAAAGTTAATTCTAATGTTAAATAGCATTTAAATATAGATTATGCCAGCTGGGAAGATAATCAAGTAGGAAAGGTAAGTCTAATTTTTCACTCAAAGTTGCAGTATTTTTTTCTCAAACCTTTTTTGGTGTTTAATCTAATCTATATTTCATATCATTGAAAAATCAGTAAGGGGCAGAAAGATTCCTAGGTAGCTTATCTGAGCAGTTCTGAACCAGTCTGTGATTGCCTCTCTGCATAACCACCTGACTGCGCCACTTCTGTGAAGCCCAAAGCAAGCTGCCAACATACAGCGCTGTAGGGAGCACCACCCTCAGTTAAATCAGACTTTTCCATCTCAGAAGTTACATCTGTTCCCAAAGTCGTCATCTGCTAACTGTGTGTCTGGATTTTGTTGCTAAAATTGTTGCATTTAATAAGCAGCAATATATCAGCCTGAAAGCATTTCTACTATAGTTGTGGTTATTGTTCAATGGCTGACTTTTTTCATTGGAAAGTAGATTTAAATAATTTGTGGAATGTGCAGTATTCTGTGTCAACTGCTTCAAGATAAGCACTCTTCTTTTTCATTCAGGTCTGAATTAAAGGGTAAGCTAATCACACTTCAAGGCATCTGTAGCTCATATGCACCATACTTATGTGACAGATAACAGATGCTTCATGTAAATGACCACTTTTATATACATGTGTTATGATCTAAGAGAAAAGAGAAAAAACATATCTGTTTTGCTACATTTTAATAGAAGGTTTTTAAAGGGATTATTTTTTAGGTCTCGTCAGCAACATCAAATAAAAGGTACTGAGTACTCCACAGGGTACAGAGTGCTGCCAAGCACCTTACAAAATTTACACAACATGGAGAAATCGCGGTTCTTGCCCCTTGCGGAGCTCACAGTCTGGGGATTTGACAACTCATAGGCTTAGAGTTGAGTGAAAAAGTAATTTACTAGAGCAGATTCTTTATCCTCTAGAGATATTGTAGACTGAATTATTTTAGAACTTGGAATTAATCTAGTCAATATGAGAGACAAAACTAAATTTGGTTGAGAATTCTTTCAGGCTCTCAGTTTTTATTAATGTCCATCTAGCAACAGAATTGACATAATAGACAATTGAAAGTAAAGACTAGATCTCTTGAGTGCAAGGGCTAAAACAACTTAATTGTAGTTACTTACTTTAAAAAGCAAACATTGAGTGGTATGACTAGGGTTATTACACTAGTCTAAACATAGGCCAGGTTCTGACACTGCATTTCTCTCATGTGTTGCTCATTTAAAATAGTGACTGTTAAAATACGTGGGTTCTACAGCTAACCCCAGAGAGCCTACCACAAATCTTAATGTTCTGTGTATCAAATATCCACCTCATGGGTACTATGAAAATTTTATTTATGCCCCATTAAGTCAAAAGTAATGTAAATAGTCAAATTATAATAAGCTAATGACCTGCACATTTTTGTATGGATGAATGTCAATATATCTAAATAGGAAATAAATGGCAATCCTATCTACCTATATAAAAAAAATAGACTTATCTTTCCAGATTTTGCATACTCAACACTGTAAGAAGAGGTATGCAGGTTTTAAGGTTTCACAATCAGTTGTCAGACAGCAGTTATGCCTGAAGTATCTTGTTAGCATCTGAATCAATTATTTTTAGATTATATGATTTAGAAGACATTGTAAACCCATCTAAAAATTTCTAATTATGCTGAGACGGTTCCAACGTTAACCCTAGAATCATTATCAGAAAGAGTAACAATGATGTAGAAGAACAACTAATCAATATGACTAAAAATATGCTCACTTTCAGAAAAACAATCTGGTCATCTGGAGAAAAATCACAGCTACAACCTGGGGAACACTCCACCTGGGAGGTTCTGACACTGCATTTCTCTCATGTGTTGCTCATTTAAAATAGTGACTGTTAAAATACATGGGTTCTACAGCTAACCCCAGAGCGCCCACCACAAATCTTAATGTTCTGTGTATCAAATATCCACCTCATGTGTACTATGAAAATTTTATTTATGCCCCATTAAGTCAAAAGTAATGTAAATAGTCAAATTATAATAAGCTAATGACCTGCACGTTTTCATATGGATGAATGTCAATATACCTAAATAGGAAATAAATGGCAATCCTATCTACCTATATAAAAAAAATAGACTTATCTTTCCAGATTTTGCATACTCAACACTGTAAGAGGTATGCAGGTTTTAAGGTTTCACAATCAGTTGTCAGACAGCAGTTATGCCTGAAGTATCTTGTTAGCATCTGAATCAATTATTTTTAGATTATATGATTTAGAAGACATTGGAAACCCATCTAAAAATTTGTAATTCTGCTGAGACGGTTCCAACGTTAACCCTAGAATCATTATCAGAAAGAGTAACAATGATGTAGAAGAACAGCTAATCAATATGACTAAAACTATGCTCACTTTCAGAAAAACAATCTGGTCATCTGGAGAAAAATCACAGCTACAACCTGGGGAACACTCTCACCTGGGATACTGATCTGGCCAAGGCACACTATTTCTAAGCAGGAAAACTTATCAGATCAGGGTGAATTTAGGCCACTTCTGAGGAGCAGCCTATAAATTTCCAGACAGGCCTTCCTAGGCATCATAACTGGTCCAATTCCTCTCAAAACAGTTTGATATACTACCCACACTTTGACGTTAACTCAAATCAAAAGAGCATATTGGAACAAAGGTGAACAGATGAGTAAACTCTAGCACATTCTTATTGCTGTATTAAGTGTGAAGACGAGCACTTCCTACCCACAACAGTATTGTTCTAGGAAGCAGGATAGGAGTAGTGGTAAATCAAACAATAGACTATTAATTGCATAATTAATAGAAAAGTAAAAACATGTTTCAAAATCTACAATAAACCTGTATCCAAAGGAGTCTTAGACATCGGTGATGTGCTGAACTTCGAATTCTGCAGTACAGCTTTGCAATCTGTGGTACGGCTTTGCAACGGACTCTGGCCTACTGGCATGGGTGTGGCTTGCTTCCTGCCTGCTGAAGTGTGAATGTGCTACACAGAGCTAAGACGGTCTCTACTGAGTGGTCAAATTCACAGAAGCTCCAGGTCATTAATGTGAGGATCACTCCTGGTGCAATGTTTGATGTAGATGAAGATAATCACTCCTAGTGCAAAGTTTGATGTAGATGAAGATAGAGTGGTTTCTTGGTCAGTAACTGCAATTTCTTTCTTTTAAAGTCGGTGGGTTTCTTGTACCTGAAACCACAACAGAAAGACCACTGTTTTGAATACTTTGATGACCGATCTATTCCAAGGTTACATACTNATATTGGAACAAAGGTGAACAGATGAGTAAACTCTAGCACATTCTTATTGCTGTATTAAGTGTGAAGACGAGCACTTCCTACCCACAACAGTATTGTTCTAGGAAGCAGGATAGGAGTAGTGGTAAATCAAACAATAGACTATTAATTGCATAATTAATAGAAAAGTAAAAACATGTTTCAAAATCTACAATAAACCTGTATCCAAAGGAGTCTTAGATGTTGGTGATGTGCTGAACTTCAAATTCTGTGGTACGGCTTTGCAATGGACTCTGGCCTACTGGCATGGGTGTGGCTTGCTTCCTGCCTGCTGAAGTGTGAATGTGCTACACAGAGCTAAGACAGTCTCTACTGAGTGGTCAAATTCACAGAAGCTCCAGGTCATTAATGTGAGGATCACTCCTAGTGCAAAGTTTGATGTAGATGAAGATAGAGTGGTTTCTTCGTCAGTAACTGCAATTTCTTTCTTTTAAAGTCGGTGGGTTTCTTGTACCTGAAACCACAACAGAAAGACCACTGTTTTGAATACTTTGATGACCGATCTATTCCAAGGTTACATACTGGATAAGGTGGACTAAGAAGAAAGATACGCTAGTCACCATTAAATTAGTACTAATTCTGTGTGCACATCACTTACAGTTCTATCACAATTGACCCAGGTTTAATTTCATCCATCTCCATGAAAGCAAAACACTTGGTGCTGGTAAACCTTTTCTTAGGCTTGTAGTGTTTGAATTCAAAGAAGATAGCTGCACCTAAGGAATCAAAACGAACCACATAAACCACAGATAACACAGTTTTTTGTGTTATTTAGTTTTCTTTTATCACCAGAAGGATATGAACAATCAACAGGTTGGCATAATTTTACAAAGTAAACTGTGTCAAACAGTCTCTGCTGATATGACTGTGACTTACTGTGGTTATATCACCCCGGACTCTCCTGTGTCTGAGTGACATTTCCCATATCATCCAATTCTACTAAGTACAGCAAAACCTCTCAAGCTAGACTGACTTAAGAATCAATATGTTATGTACACAAGTTGAATCATAAACCACTAAAGAATATACAATATTAAATACTACAAGAGGAACACAGAAGATATTTGTTAAGTATTAACAATACTCATAGAAACTCACTAGGTAGGAAAGACGTTTAAGAGTTCCTAAAAAAAATTTCAGCTCGAACTGTTCTCTTCACTCGGAAAAAAAAATTTTTGAAAAATTTAATTTTGGGGGTTTGTATTAGAATTCGAACAACATATATCATATGCTGGTTCAGCTGTAAAAATGTTACCCATTTCCTCATATGTTTTTCAGTGTTCAAAGCACTGTTTTGTCTTCCCTAGAACTGCATATGTCTGTATCAAGACAGTGCTGTGGAAGACAAAGATCTAAACGGCAAGTCTATCTGCCCCCCTCCTCCAATAAGCAAGTGATAACAAAATCTTAGACAGTGCTATGTCCCCAAAACCCAACAGATAAGCTCTCACCCTAAACCTGCAGAAAAAAGCTAAAGATAAGAAATAAATTGCCTCATCAATGTGGCTAAGAAAAACTAATTTCTAAAGAAAGCATGGAAACTAATGGAAGGAAGTCAGGGTCTCACTTTTAACTGGCTACTTCTTAATACTGCCTTAACCAGAGTGGTGCTATGTATCTTGGCTCTTTAAAGACAACCTACATCTAGTGATTTCACTGATGACAAAACTTATGTGACCAGAAGTTTAGCAATGTTCTAAAATGTGCATATAGCCCTGGCACTCAAGTCCAAATGCTGCACCTCACATGTCAAAGAAGGAAAGAAAACCCAACTGCTCAGGAGACAATGGAATGTGGGTGAAGGAGAGAGGGGTATATTTAGTCATCTACTCCCAACACACCCAGAAGGATTACAATAGTTAGGTTACTGGTGACCTCTCTTCCTCCCACGGCAATAACAGAGGCACTTTACTATTAAAAAACCTCAGAGATTTCTAAGATAGCAGATCACATTTCTTTTTTTTCCTTTTTGTCTTTTTCGTGTCCGGCAACGGATCGCAACCCTCAGTGTCGCGCCCGTACCGGACCGGGACCGGCAACGGGATCGCAACCCTCGGTGTTGCGCCCGCTCCTCGCTCAGCCAGTGAGCGGGAACCGGTCTGTATGTGGGATCCGAACCCTTGGCAGGAGCGCCGCCGTGCTCCCAAGCGGCGCACCACAGCAGTGCGCCACCGGGCCGGCCCCGCAGATCACATTTCTTAGTTCTTCAGTTGAGGGACCCATCTCCTTCTAATAATTGTGTCTGAGGTCTGCCTGAATAAACATAAAGTTGCATTTGAAAACAGGGTTAAAGTCCAAATATGTTACCATCATTTTGAGGAAGTTAAAAATTTTCATTCATCTGCATCACCAGGAAATAATATATCTCCTGCATCCCTGCTATGCATAGCTTTGTACTTCATGCTATTTATAAGAACGAACAAAATGTGAAATTAGAATATACTAGAGAGATTAACTGAAATGCTTGTAAACATGAATGTTCAGAGATTAATTGAAATGCTTGTAAACATGAATGTTCATTAGCATTAATATCAGTTATAACTACAGTAACCATAAATAAGTTCAAATCTGGAGAAAATGAAGAGTAAAACTCTGAATATAGTCCTACTTTTAGCATCTTATAAGTAATAAAGAACACTGGAATAAAATAGAAGTTAGCTCACGAAACAATGTACCTTCTCTCCACATCAGAAACATTTCTTAAAGGGAGTTAAAGAAATGAAAAATGTTAATATGATTCTTCGGAAGCCTACTTCATACTGAAATTTCAACATTATTCATTAAGCACTTCCTATCTACATATTCCTCCAACACAGCAACTCTCTAGCTTTGGTGTAGGAGATAGAAGCACCTTCGTGAAACACTGACTGCTGTGACCCACCCCTACGATTTCTGATTCAGGAGGTCTGGGGTGGAGCCCAGGCATTTGCACCTAACAAGGTTCCAAGTGCTGCTGCTCCGGGGCACCCTCTGAGAACCATGGTTCTATCAGGAGCACTGAAAGGTAAGTGTCTGTGGGAGACAGAGGAGGCAGCAGCACCAGACTGAAGAAGTAAAATATCAAATGTTTCAGAGGCCGAGGCAATCGTTTCAAAAAGCACTTGTACATCTTGTACAAGCTTCCCGCAGAGCTTGAAGATTTCAGACTCTGCAACTGAACTCTAGCTGATAAAGGGATTCTGAAGTCTTTTCAGAGAACACTGACATTCCCATTGGGCAAAAGGCATGGGGAAGCATTTAATCCTAAGAATTATTTAGATTGGGAATGTAACCTCACCATTTTAAAATCTGCTTTTGTCCTTTCCCATCTTCCTGCCAGCTAACTGCAAGCTATGGTAGCTTTCTACTTAATAAATGCAGCTGAAAGAAAAAAACTGGTCTTTATCTATGACAGACTTAATTAAGGCCTGCTTCCCTCAACTCTGTATTATGACAAAAACTTTCACTGTTTTGTTGTTAAAGCCAACAAAATTTTTACTATCAAAGAATGTTCTATTATATAAGTGTTATTATACAACTAGATAACACAATTCCTGATTCCTACATTTTTAAAAAATGTATACTTTATTCAAATCAATAAACACTATGTGACAATTATTTCTGCCAGATACTAACTGTGCTAGGTTCACTATGCACATGGATGCAAATAAAATTAGGGCTCTGTCCATAGGAAGCCAATTATTTGTGATTACAAACCTTTGGTTAATTTTTCAACATGCTTCTGGAGCTCAATGTCCACATTAAAATGAACATATGTATCTTCTTTTCTTGAAGCCACAGGAGTATCTTGCACAGGAGTTAAATCTATGCCATTCAGATCTAAAGAGAAAAAAATTAAGTTTCTTCTCAGGAGCATTTAAATACAAAGACTCAAAAAGTGCAAACACACTGCAAAGGGTTATATTTCCTAAAGAGGCTTGGAGACAGCTGAGAGGAGATTGTTAGGCTAACAGAAATCCCTATTTGACCATAGGTACATGAAGAGCTGCTGGTGGTGTCCACAGAGGTGGGTGGAGGGAGCTGAGTAGAGAGGGAAGGAGGAAGCACGGCCATGACTGGATATAAAAGCAAGCTTGCAGAAGACAAAATTTGATCTTTACAGTTAAGAATAAAAAGGATTCTTGTTTTCCTTAGGGGATAGGCCAATACATTTTTATGTGCAACAAAAATCTGGAATGTGAATAATATACCACAGTGGGTCCCTTGCCCCTAATTTCCAACCTCAATCAAGTGTATGGCTTTGAAAGGCCTTTAAATCTAACATTATCAGAATTCCCCTGTTGTGTTCAAATCAGAAGACCAGAAGTGGACATAAGAAGTAAAAAGGATTCTTGTTTTCCTTAAGGGATAGGCCAATACATTTTTATGTGCAACAAAAATTTGGAATGTGAATAATATACCACAGTGGGTCCTTTGCCCCTAATTTCCAACCTCGATCAAGTGTATGGCTTTGAAAGGCCTTTAAATCTAACATTATCAGAATTCCCCTGTTGTGTTCAAAACAGAAGACCAGAAGTGGACATAAGAGCTGCCAATAAAACCCTTGCATCAATTAATAAATTTACTATATTATCTACATTCTAGTTATATTTGCTATGATATAACCTGAATTACTATAACCAGACAGTACACTGAGTTTATTGTGTATGGTTTTAATTTCCTGGATTCAGGAATCTTCCAGTTGAATCAAATTCAACATGGACTCATTTTAATGACTACTCAGTGTTTATGTATTATTCAACAGATCTGTCTTAGAGAACTTAAAACAATTTAGAACATTTGATTATTTTCAGTTCTTAAGGATATTTAAACAAAAGCATGTTTCAGTTCAACATGTACAAAAAGGGAATTAACATCTACAACGTTATCATTAAATATTTTTGTGTTTTACAGTGTACATTCCTGAAGCAGTTATGCAGTTTTGCAAATGACCTATCCACAATGTACAGTATAAATACTTTCCAGTAGACCACGTATTTGATAACTGGTAACATCAGAAGTTAAAGTATCACAGCTGTGGATCATGGTCACTACATACTAAAACTCTTCTCTGTGCCTGAATTCCTTTTTCTTTTAATTGAACTAATGAATGCATGGGTCTGAATCTACATCCACAATTGACGAAAGTTCCCTCCATTTAATTTCAGCCCATATCTGTTTCTTTGATTTGCCTCAAACTACAGATTAAAGTAAGCCGCTTGGATTAATTGTGCAGTTATTTCTGGATAACAGTATGACAATTTCATCCTGAATCACACAATAATTACTTTTAAAAGACTGTTAAGTGCTTTATAAAGTACTGTATGAAATACCTGACAGTAACAAAAGAATTGAACCACTGTGGTTTCCCTCAGAAATACTGCACTTTTTTAATGCCCCGCAGGTCTACGTTCAGGGCATGGACCACTGTGGTTTCCCTCAGAAATACTGCACTTTTTTAATGCCCCGCAGGTCTACGTTCAGGGCATGGATGTTATGTGTGTATGACTACTTCCCTGTCTCCACTGATGATTCTCACCCACCTCTGCGGAACTCTCCTACGTAGAAACCTCTCTTAGATAGGAAGGAGAAGGCCTAACGCAGGATGAGAACTGGGAAAACAGAACACTGGGCTTTACAAAGTAAACTACGCACCCTGGGAAGATGAGGGACAGTCTGTTAATCTGCATCCTGAGGATGTACCTGCTATTAAAGATGATGTGTTTGTCTAGTTAGCACTCTAGATGGGATTTTAGGAATAAAAAAAATACAAAAGTTCTTCAAAAAGTTTGTGGCAAAATATAATTGAAAGATAGTATGAATCCTCCCATCAACTTTTTGAAGTACCCTCATATACAAAGAAAAATTCAAAAGTGAAAGTGAGTGTAAGTTATAAATTAGGAAAATATCTTTAGTAAATCTGTCAGAAATGATCAGTGAAGGAGTGACAATCTCTGCCAGGGATTTCACCTCATTGCAGAATGAAATAAAATGAGTTGTCACAGATACAAGCCCCTACCCCCATTCCAAAGGAAGTAAATGTAAACAAAGTCACTTACCCTTTACACTAACTGTAATGTAGGGATCGATGCACTGCCCAGCATCTTTCAGGCCAATTTTCTCAATTCTGATAGTGAGTAATGTCATCCCTGGTTCTGATGGCAACCTTGGTAATAAAGTACCTGGCAACAGAGAAATAGGGACAAAACTTAGCTCTACCAGTAATTTCAGAGCAAATATTCTAACAGACACAGAGAAGATACAGCCTTGTTCTTAACTGACATAGTAATTAGCCACACATTATTTTGTTTTCCAAAACTTCCCAACACTTGATGTTGTTCTTTTCAGACAAATGTTTAATTATACACAAGCTAAATCTGCACTTCCATTTCTCATATTCACCACTAAAGCAGAAATTATTAATTCAAGCTTGTTAAAAATTCAAGTCAGAGAGAGACTTCTCGCGGAATAGATGGTCCCCAGCATCACTCTCTCCCACAAATCAACCAATTTACAACTATAAAAAAGCAATGACAGCCAAGCTGGGGCTGCTAGAGCTCAAGGGAAGAGAAGGAGAGACCTACAGAGTACACAAAAGTTGGAGAAGCCACAATGAGAGAAAGAAAAAACCCTCCAATCATTTCGAATCCCGGCCACTTCCAGGCTGGACCTGCTGAGCGCACAGAGCTGGAGCTGGCAAAAGCTGCAGCTGTGCCCTTCGGATAGAGTTGCTTTGAGACGGCAGGGGAGAAGAGGGCCATGGTGGTCCCCAGACCAGCAAGACCACTAATAGGGTTCCCGTGGACCCACACAGGAGTGAGCAGCCACAGCAGCTGAAAAAAAGGAGCCACTCAGAGGCCAGTGAGTCATCACAAGGGACTGGAGTATGGCCCGTCCCATGGGAAGTGTTTGCAGCACGGGCAGTGGGGGAGACGGGCCCACCAGGAGAACACTGGACACAGCAAGGACAGATATCTGCACCCAATCAGCATAGGACCACTCAGAGGAGACTGGTCAGGAGGAGACTGCAGTTTGATGAAAAGACTCAGGCCCAGACCAGAGTTTCTACACAACCCAGGTGCACTGGATTTCACGAGAACTGGAAGTACCTATAAAGTCAACCATTAAAACCTGAGCTGCACAAAAAGCCTTCCCCAGGGAATCAGCAGCAAAGCAGCAATTCAGCTCAACCACAGAGCTCAAGTACTGGTCTCCACAGGAAGATCCCCCATTTTAGAAGTAAGCAAAGGACAGCAAATTAGTTCCAGTGCAGAATTTGAGTGGTGGGAACAGCAAATAATCAAACACAGAACTGAAGGAAAAAACAAAGTACCCATTACCAGAGACAAAGTTTGATACTAACTAATAAAGGTCTCATTTCACCAAAGAACACCTATAACACCTAGAAGGACCAGAAGTCCCCTGGGCTACCAAACCAGAAAGGGGGGAGGGTCAGGGGCCTCAGCCATGCCCCCCAACACCTGCAACCAGTCCCAACGTGGGGGCCTGGGGCCTCAGCCACACACCCCTGACAAGCGCAACCACCCCAGCGACAACCACTGAGTCGCCGCAGGAAGTGTCCTGGGCTCCCCCAAGCTGGGCAGTGGGGGCCTTGGGACATAGTCACAACCCCCAGCACAAGCAACCAGCCCAGTAATGACCACTGAGTGGCTGCAGGAAGCACCCCGGGCTCTCCTGAGCTGGGGCAGTGTGAGGCTGAGGGCCTTGGCCACACACCCCCCACCAGCAACCAGCCCAGCAATGACCACCAAACCGCAGCAATAAGGGCCCTGGGGTTCCTGAGCTGGGGAGGTGGGAGGCAAGGGCTTTTGCCACACTCCCCTGACATGTGCACCCAGCCCAGCAATGACCAAGCCACCACTGGAAGCCCCCTGGTCTCTCCTGTGGGAATGTGGGGGGGTGCCACAGGCCTCAATCCCACCCCTCCTCCTTCCTCCATCCCATTTCCTTCCCCTTTCCCCTCTCCCCCTCCCTCCCAACTGCTCTGCAACATGATAGAATGTAAAAAAAAAAAATTAACAAAATAAAAAAAAAAAAAATTCAAGTATTTCCAGGAAGCCCACTTATAAATTACCACCTAATAAATAACATAATATACTCATGAAATATTGTTTAAATCTCAATATGAAGCAGTAGAAACACAGACAGGAAAAGATTTTTAAACATTTGTTACATTATCCTTACATTTGAGAAATTTAATAAAAGAACTGATCAACAAATCTTTTAGTTACTATTTTTAACTATATATTTTTTTTTTGGTGGACGGCCAGAACAGGGATCCAAACCCATGACCTTGGTGTTATAAGGCTGTGCTCTAACCAACTGAACTAACAAATTAGCCCCTCTTTTAGTTACTACTGAGAGAGATAATAATTTACAACTTAATAGTTATGCTTACTACTTAATTTGTACGTAATTGAATAATTTTACAGTCCAATTTCCCACTCCTTTACTCATCCTATTCTGTATAATTTATACTCTCAGAAATTAGTACTACTGAGAATGCCACATAAAACCACAAAAGCAATTTGTATGTTTGATATCTTTTCCATATACTAATTAAACTTTTAAAACTGAAAAACTACATTAAAAATGTATATTTGATTGACTGCAAGCAAGTTTCAGGGAATTTGGGGAGGCAATGGAAAATGCTATAAAATTAGACTATGGTGACAGGTGCACAACTCTATAACTTTAACAAATACTGAATTGCACACTTACAGTAGGTAAACTGTATGACATGAAAATTAAACCTCAATAAAGCTGTAAAAAAGTAATACTGGTTTAAAAATGTGTTACGGTTTTGACTTTCTAATTTAAATAAGTATGAAGACAACACAGAAAATGTAGAAATGGGAAAGATTGAGGCTTCATTCCACCGTTTCATGAACAGGTCTGAATGGGCCAGGGATGACGATTCTATATATACACAGTACATGACATAAGACCTTTTATGCTGTCTCCTTTTGACTGACTTATTACAAATGAAGGTGTCCCTAGAATAGGGGCTTTTAATGGAATCTGTGGAACGAGCTTCAGAGAGTTAAGGTACAACTTTGGAATTTTATTAAATATGTGGGTGTATACATTTTTTTCTTAATTTTCCTGCAAAAAAAGTCCATACTTTTATCAGATTTTCAAAGGGGTCTCTTCCCAAAAGACTTTCGGAAAAGTTGCCTTAGAAAATTAGCATTGCTCCAAGCAGAAATAAGGTTCAAAATCAAAGTTTTTGCTCTGTTCTGTGTGTAAGATGTGGCTAAGAGAATTATCGGATACAGAGATTGAACTTGGTTTTTCAACACTGAAGAATATCTGTGAGTTTCAAATTTCCATATTCTCTGTTTTCCATTACTGTAGAAATTCAAGAGTCTTGACTGACAATACCTATGCAAGACAATCTTTGGCCAACAAAAAGTTCTAAGTACAAAAAGTAGAAAACCAAAATGAGGGGCTGCCCGGTGGCGCACTGCTACAGTGCGCCGCTTGGGAGTGCGGCGGCGCTCCCACCGAGGGTTCGGATCCCACGTACAGACCGGCCGCTCACTGGCTGAGCGAGGTGCGGGCGCAACGCCGAGGGTTGCGATCCCGTTGCCGGTCCCGGTCCGGTACGGGCGCGACACTGAGGGTTGCGATCCGTTGCCAGTCACGAAAAAAGACAAAAAAAGGAAAAAAAAAAAAAAGAAAACCAAAATGAAACACTCAAAAGCAGTGTCAACACCATCTGAAAAGTAAAATCACAACATGACTTTTTCATACGGAATGGGTCTCAACAAATCTTTCGCTACATTTCAATACATTTTCTTTTTATCTTTGGCTTGTTAGCTCAGTTGGTTAGAGCACTTTTTAAAAAAAATTTTACTTCTCAAAATACATTGTAGTTCATTTTCATGCCCCTTTACTTGTTCCTCTCTTCCCCCTCCCCACCCCCCTCACCCCCACATCGTATCTGTTCACTTGACTTAAATACTTAAAGGAATTTTTGTGGTTATTCTGTCTTCTTCCCCCCCCCATCAATACATTTTCAATAATCAAAGTTTCCTTATATTAAAAAGAAAAGGTCTTTTACTATACTCACTGTCTAGCCTTTTCTTTTTAATGTTTTTAATTGTGAAATCTAACACATATTGAGAAAAGCAAATAAAACAAGTATACAGTTTAATGAAAAAACTGGAAAGCGAGCATCTACGTGACCACCACTCAGGTCAAAAATAAAACATTACCCCAGGAGAACCTTCTGTCTCCCCTCCGCCCAATGCCCCTTCTGAATCCCTCCCCACTGTCCAGCTTTTTAAATAACTACTAAAAAGCATCCTATATCGTAACTATATAATAACAGTTTTGCCTGCTTTTGAACTTCAGATTTATCCAAGTTGTTGCCAGTACCTGCAATTTGTTCATTTCTCCTATTATATAGGACTTCATTGTATATATTCCACAGCTAACATATCCTTTCTTCCAATGATGGACATTTGAGTTGCTTCAGGTTTTTGGATATTGTTAAGGCCGCTATATAAACACTCCTGGAAACATATCCTGGTGCGCATAAGCACATATTTCCAAAACAGAGGAATTACTAAATCACACAATATGTGACCTGTTTCCCTACTATGTAATGACAAACTGTTTTCCAACGTGCTTGTACCAATTTCCACTCCTAGCACGAGGGCAGCAGCGTTTTCCAACGTGCTTGTACCAATTTCCACTCCTAGCACAAGGGCAGCAGCACTCTCACTGCTCCATACCCTCACAAGCACTGCATATTGCCAGATTCTTCATTTTAGCCAATTAGGTGTAGAGAAATGTTGGCCTAGGTTTAATCTGCATTTCTCCCAAAATTAATGAGGTCGAGCACATTTTCGTATTAGATTGAGCATTTGGATTTCCTCTTTTCTGAAGTGTCGGTTCAATTATTTTGCCCATTTTTCTATTGGAATGTCCATCTTATTCCTTTTTGAGTTGTAGGAGGTCTCTAACATTTTGATATAAGCATTTTGTTAGATAGACATTTTACAAATAGCTTCTTAGTGGTTTCCTTTTTAAAATACTTTGTATCGAAATATATATAAAAACACATATATTTTAAGTATTGCTTACTGCATTTTCACAAAGTGAACACAACTTTGTAACTAGTACCAGATCCAGGACAGACATTACCGACATCCT